TTTGACGTTGTTTAAAACTTGCTGCAAATGAAAGCTATTAGAGGTGAGCTAGACAAAGCAGATGAAAAAGTACATGGTATAGCCCAAAAAAAATAGGCATTGAGATTTTTGTACCCTGCTTTATATGTATATAGAAAACAGTTTTTTGATGTGGAGATCCTAAAGGGCTTTAATAGATTTGCAGCTAGTGAGATTGTATTTTTATTTCCTTTATCAAGTCAGAGAACATTGGTTCTTAGAGTAGTCATTGTGCTCATATATCTGCTTTATGTGACCTTAATAATTAAAGTAGTGTAGGATATGGGTCCCAGGGTGCTCATGATGTTCTGAATGCTGGCAGCAGAACAGACGTGTTTCTTCATCCCTCTCCTTTGATTTCCCTAATTGTGGCCTGGCAGTGATGATAACTTGTGTTACAAATACTAGGCTTTCTGCTGAGCAAATAAGCCATGAATTAGTTGTCAGGGTCAGGGCAGGAAAGTTGCTGTCGTGCATTCTGACCTGGTAGGATACATGCATATTCAAAGAGTTGCATAAGCTTCTGAAATTATTGGAAAAAATACTCTGGGATTTAGTAAGTCTTCCTTGCTGCTGAGAGATAGATTGCTTCTAAGAGCAATTCCCACAAATCTAAATCAGTGCTAAACCAGAATTCCTGCAATTTTTGACACTTAGAGTGGGTGTGGATAAGTGAAGGAGTGTAAATTAATATAAATCCTTCAGTGGAGTTGGCATTTGGTCAGTACTGAGGCCTTGGGTATTCACACAGCTCTAGAAATTGACAACTGAAATTCACAGAAACAGTAACTTCTTGTCCCATCTTTTTTGAAGAATCCAGGTTAATAAGTGCCTTTATATAGTGGAGGTCTCCCAGCTGTTTGTCTGCAGATGAGTATATATTCTAATCTCTGGCTAAAAGGAAGTTTGATATTAGAAAACTTTTTCTAATGGGTTAGGCATGTGCTGAGAACACAGATCTGCACTTTCAGTCTACTTAGCATAAGATAGTCATCAAGTCAGTGGCTGACATCAGTTAACATGAGTTAGTTTGATCCCTGGCTTAATCTCTGTGTAATGTACTGTATTATTTACCTATTGCAAAGTGAGGGATGGGACAAGACTGTTTTTTCATGTTACCAAAGGACACAGACTACAGCAGTTTATAACACTACGCCTGACTAAGTATTCTGTGGGTTTCTGAAACTCCATTTTTTTGGGGGATAGTTGTTATTTCATAAACCTCCTAAACTCTAGCATCTGCTTGTACCTCTTTCTTATCTGGCTGCTTATGATGATGTGGACCTGATTGGTTGGAGCATGCAGTATTTGGAAAGGATTGTATTGGTGGTTAGTCCCACCTTCCTTCTTTCTGCTGGCTCTGGAAATTGGTACCGTGCAATTGTGTACATATTAGACTTTTTGGATAGTGATGAAAGGCATTTCTTTGGTTAGCTGTAATTGTAGTCGGCATCTACACAGCTCATGCTTTTGAACAGTGGCTTAATTTTGTTGTACTGAATTTTAGATTTGGTATTGTAATCACTTTCTTTCGTCTTTCACCAATCATCTTGCTATGGCCCTGCCCCAAATTACTCCTAATCTTTACTTCTAGCAGAATCTACCAAGCTCCTTTGTATTCCTTTGTCCAGGGAAAAAGGGTAAGGAAGACTCAAAGCAGCATTTGATCTTGAATTTTTGTCAAATAGGTTATGCTTCATTTCCATTTGAGAGAACATTTCTTCAATGTGACATGATCTCCTTCCTTATCTCTAATCACAAAAAAAAGTTAAAAGAGCTGGCCCCATTCAAAGTCTAATTTCACATCCTGTGTTATGCAGTTCTTTACCTTCTAATTACAGTATGTTAATAAATACAGTTCTCTTCACACTGTGTTGTTTGTAGTGTTTAGAAATAAAAGTTTAAATTGAGACTAGATAATTTTTTCATAAATCCAGGTAGCTTCTTTTTAATACATTTAATGCTATTACATAGGATTTTAACAAGTAAACTGTAATTATGATTCAACAAGGAGTGTCCATGATAATATTTGGCAACCACTGCACAGCCCTGGTTTTAATCTCTCCTTGACTTTCTGCTTTAGATGGCAAGGATTTATTTGAAATGAGTCTGTTTTGCATACCAGATTTCACCATTCAAAACTAATGTCTTTTCTGTAGTGTGTCTGCTCTGCCTGATCCAGAACTACTCAAACCAACACAAAGTCCATTTATTAATGAGTGAGAGAAGTAAGTCTGGAGCTACCTTTCTGAAGGCCAATTATGTTTCTTTGAGCATTTTTCTATAACAGGTCTATAAAGTTTAAATTTATTTGTAAAGTTGAAATTTATTAGCTACAGAAGGTAAGAAATCTTTTCAGTTGATACAGCTATCATATTAAAGACTGTATAAGATAGTAAAACATGATTTTGCTGTGCTGTGCAAAGTTGAGTTATGGTTATAGGCAAAAAATCATTAAGCAAAATTGGCCAGCAAGGCACTGACACTGGCTAAGGAAAGATTTTGTTCAGGAGATACTTAAAAATGTATGCACATAGTTATGTTTTCCAGTTTCAGATGAGACAGAGTTGCGCGGGTGTTTTCTTGTTTATCGCTTGTAAACTGTGCTATTGTTGTATCTTTTAAAGATACTTACTCTGAGTATAACTTCTTAAGAGAATTGCTAAGAGCAAGAAGGAGCTATCCTTGAACATTTCTTAAAAGTTTATTTGCCAAAAGATAAAATTACAATTTGATGCAAACCATACATACCTTGCCATGGCAAATTCCCACCTTGTCCTGTCCCATTTCTTGCATATGAAGGTAACTTTGGTTTTTAATATGCTGCAGAGACTTTGTTTTTTGCTGATCTGTACTCTCTCTAGCCAGTTAGTATTAGCTTGGAAAATTTCTGGCTCTATAGTCCAGCTCCAGTTGATTTGAAATGGTACAAGCTTGGATGAGACTTCTGCTTTTGGAAGTCAGGCTTCCTTGAATATAGAGGTACATCACAGATCTTCATGATCTGATTTTTAATGAAATACTCTTTGTATTTGTTGTGTCAATAGTATTTTTTGGTTTTTTTCTTACTAATGTTTTGGTAGCAAAAGAAAGTAGCCTGATGAAACAGAAGATTTGATCTAGACAAAATTTAGTAAATATATATGTATCTGTAATGTTTGTAGTAGCTTGCAATTTACTGTGCATGCTTTTTGTTTTGGAGTTTCAGTGTTGGGATGCTTTCAGATCAGTCTTCTGAGGTAAAATTCCTTTTTGGACAGTAGGCAAAATGCAAAGGAAATAGAAATGGGAATTGGTTACTTTTTAAACTCTTTAATGAACTTGCTATTTTCAAACTTTTTTCCCTTCTGTGTTTCTCTTTATTTCATAGATGCACATACAGTTCTCAGGCTACAGGTAGTAAATTTCTGTCATATTAATTACAATTTAGCATTTTGGTTTGTTGGCCAAAACTTGTGCTGGCTGTGTAAACAAAACAGAAGGATGCCCAGGCTTAGTATATAACAAGGGATTTAAGCATTTACGTGAGTGTTTTCAAAAGAGGCAGTAGTGCTTTGGCCATTCTATGTTTTCTCAAGTGTGAAGGACAAAGGTCCTTTTAGTATGTTTTTAATCAAAAGATTCTTTCTAATTTAAAAGCTTAGCAATAACTGCTGCATAGCAAATAGTTATGGTTAATTCTGTTACAGTGTGCAGGAAAGGGTATGTCTTGCTTGTTTGAGTGACAGAGTTTAAACAATATAGGATAGAGGTAGAATTTTAAAACTCTCCCTTGCTGAGCCATTTGTACTGATGTACAGTATATAAACCAAAAGAACTTCCTATCTGATGAAGAAATAAAACCTTAACTAGAAATACCTACCAATCTCTACATACGTTAATCATGTCTTACATACAGCTGGGACTTTGGAAGAAAGGCTAGGTAAGTATGACTGGCTTTCCAGCCCTCATCTAGCATTTCCAGATTTCTGACGCTTGAACCATGCCTTTATGGGTTAAAACTTTGTAGCAGCAGCACCGATGTGACTGTGACTACAGTCTGTGTGCAGCTGTTGGGGCAGGCAGGCAGTGTACCCTGTGCCTAGGCTCTTTAGTGCCTCCTACTTCTGCCATGCCAAGAGGGCATGGGCAGAAGGCAGAGGTTTCTGTGACATGCTTCTAACACATCATGGTTTGGTTTTTTTTATGAAGAGACCTGAAAATAGTATTCTATTGTTCAGTTAAGGTTTCATTTAAAAGGCAAACCTATACTATATGTACTTGGAGTAGTCAAGAAAGTTCTTGTCTGCAGTAATGACATCCCTTCTCAGTATGCCTCTGTCATGGATGTGTTCATTCCAAATGAATTCCACAGGTACAGTTCTTTGGGCATAAACTTGAGAAATAAATAGTCTGGATAACAAGAGAGACTTATCATGTACTTGTTAGCCCTTACATAATGTATCATAAGGGTTCTAACATTAATATTTTTACTGCATTTCAGAAGTACTCGATTTTTCAGTTAAAAAAAACCAAACAAACTAAAAGCTAAAGTCCAGAAAATAGAGTGATGTTTCTTTTTCCTTCAGAAATACAAGTACATAGTAATGCCTGTGGTTTAAAGAACATACTTCTATTCAAATCAACAGAGTGACTGTGATGATTGCTATTTAAGAAAAAAAAAAGGAACAAATATTAAATATTCTTTTGATGGCTGATGTAATGATGGTGTAACTAGTTTTGTGTCCCTGGTTTCTTGCCCTCCCCTTTTTTTTTATATTTATTATTTTAATTTTTAATGTACTAGAATTTTTTCCCCAGGTGGGCAGAGTTACATAGTTATCTGTTTAGACTGATGGTGGAGGGTAGTGAGTTCTTGCTAACTTTACAGACCATTTATTCTTCATATGGACTTCATATGTTGTGACATGGACTCTAGCATGTAGATTGAAAATAATCTAGTGCAAATTAATGTAATAAGTTTACTCTCCTTTTCTTTGTAGCACAATGGCTGACAAATCAGCAAAACCAGCAAAAAGATTATCTGATTCAAACTCTGAGGGAGCTGCGGCAGGAGAGATAAGTGCTCTGGAAGAGGCCTTTAGAAAATTTGCCATCCATGGTGATACGAGAGCTACAGGAAAAGAAATGCATGGGAAGAACTGGTCAAAGCTATGTAAGGACTGCCATATCATAGATGGGAAGAATGTGACAACCACAGATGTTGACATTGTCTTCAGTAAAATCAAGTAAGTTCATTTTACCCATAATTTCATTGTCTCCCTCCCCCCATATTTTGTAGACACCATCTAAATTTACCTTCTGTTGCTTCTGATGTTGTGAAACTGTATTTGACAAAGTCAATTTCTTTCTTATTCCTTTACAAGATTTTCTTGCTTGATCTGAAGATACAGCTTTCAGCTTCTGATCTGCTATCTAAAATTGACTTCAGTTTCACAGGTGTTATTCTATACAAAGAGTATGATGTGATCAGGATAAATGTGGGCTATTCCAATAAACTGCACTGCAGTAAGTGCTGTCAATGTTTCATAAAAGATATCTGGATGAAAAGTCAGGATGTCAGGATGATCTTGCCAAAACTTGGCCTCAGAGGACTGAGGCTAAGGTGGGATATGTACTAAAAGTCAATTTTCTAACAACAATCATGATGTCTAGCACAATACCAGCTCAGGCTTGAAGTGTAGGGCCGTGCCAGACTGATGGTGAATATGGGATGGTGACCCTTGTCTGTGATGAATTAGGATTGTCTAGGTTGTCTGATCTTATTTTTGTGACTGGAGCTTTAGTGAAACTTTCTTCCCAGTTGAAAACCAGGCTTAGTCAGAAACTTGTAAAATCTAAGAGAAGATATTAAAGGAAATATGTTAACAAGGAATTAATCTGTTATGACATGTTCTGTATTAAGCCCCAAATATTTTTTTTTAGTTTTGCTTTATGTGTAAAATTAGATTATTTTCACCTTTTATATTCCCCTGGCATCTGATATGATAATCTTTTCTGCCTTTTATTACCACAGTAATTGTTTAAATTGTCTCAAACATCATTGTGTTGAGGGACATGCTTTTAAAAGGGGTCCCTTAATTGTACTTGTAGCTTGTAGGAACACTTGGCTTGTGTACTCAACTGTTGTGGTGTAATGCTGGGAGAACATGCAAACTGCATTGCTTACAAGGTAGTTGGAAAATCTTGCTACATGCACTACCCATTTAGACTGCATCAAAGTGGAGAAAGACAGAGAAGAAAATACCTTTAATCTTGAAAGTTATCCAGTGTAACATATATAGTTAGAATGACTTTACTTATTTGATTTATTTCTATCTTTGTTTCTTTTCTCCTTGGGGATCTTATCTAGATAACTGAAAACACTACATATGCATACTCTCACCCTCTTGTCCTTGTATCAGTCCCTACTTGTATTTTCTTGAAAGTTGTGGTAATGGAGTTAGATATACCATCAGAGAACTGGCTTATTTGAAATGGTTGTTTACGCTGTAAGGTTTTGTTTCTTTCTTGATCTATGATATTTTCAAGTTTTCTCTGACTTTCATCAGCTTAAAACTTTGTTTTATTATTTCCTGTAGATAAATATAATCTTATTGCTACTTTCTCATATCAGTTTCTAGGCTCTTTAGTGACAGAATGACCCCGTGATATGGCATAAACAGATGCACAGCATTAGCAGTTATAAAGAAGTATCAGGTTTGGTGATTGTTGGGGCAGAAGGAATCCAGTCCTGATGTGCAGGAGTGAATTGTAAGGTGGCTGAGACTCCTGGGGAATGTCAGCAAATCCCCTTGCTGCTGTTGAATGCTCCTGGCTCAGCCTGGGGGTTCTTGTCTTTGTCTCTTGAGGGGGAGGGCTAGTTCAGCAGTTTCTCAGAGTTCATTCCTGTGACTTCTGTTATGTGTTGTCATTTCTCTGGGAAGAGGCATGCCATCTTTTTCTCTATCCAGTTGTCCTGGTTTAACCCCAGCCAGCAGCCAAACCCCACACATCCACTTGCTCACTCCCCTACCAGCACTGGGGAGAGAATTTAGAGTAAAAGCTGGAAAACTCATGGGTTGAGATAAAGACAGTTTAATAGGAAAAGCAAAAGCCATGTGCATAAGCAAAACAAAACAAGAAATTAATTCACTGCTTCCCTTGGGCAGCCAGATGTTCAGCCATCCCCAGAAGAGCAGTGCCCCATCACATGTCACAGTGACTTGGGAAGACAAACATCATCACTCCAAATGTCCCTCCTCTTTCTCCTTCTTCCTCACACTTTATTTACTGAACCATGATGTCATGTAGTCTGGAATATCCCTTGGTCATTTGGGGTCACTTGTCCTGGCTGGGTCTCCTCCCAAGCACCACCCCCCCCGCCCCCTCCCATTCCTTGCCAGCATGGCAGTATGGAAAGCAGAAAAGGCCTTGGCTCTGTGCAAGTCCTGCTCAGCAATAACAAATACACCTCTAAGTTATCAACCCTGTGCTCAGCATAAATCCAAAACAGCCCCACACCAGCCACTGGGAAGAAAACAAACTCTACCCCAGCCAAAACCAGCACTAGTAGTATTTAATAGCTTAGTAGATGGCTGCATCAAATGCAAAAGTATCTTGTTTAATTTTTTGTTCATTCTTTGACATGTACATGTACATATAACATGTATTTTATATATTCTTCTATTTTAAAATTATTTTATTTTTAAATTATATTGCTTAAGTGACATATGGAAGCTGAATTTGCTGTCTTTATTAGGAAGGTCTGTATTTTTTGAATGTATTCTTTCAGTAGGTATACTTCCACAGTTTCTTACCTGTTCAGGTTTTGTGGTTTTTTTACATTTTTATTCTTGGCTGCATGTGTCGCAAGTCTTTTTAGTCTAGATCACATTTATTTCACATATGATATTTTAGGTTTTAAAAGGGAAGATCTAATGGCTATCGGAACTCAAGTGTTAGTAATATGCTTTAACTTAGGAGGGTTAAGCATCAGCTGGGTATACAGGATTTCTTGAGTATGTTCAGACAGCTGTTTTTCCTTGCTTTCTCTTTTACTTCACATTTAACCCTAAGCTCAAGGATAATGATAGATTTAGTAATGCATCAAAGCAGACATACTCACATAATAAACTCATACTCATTTTTATTTTATAAGCAGTTTTTTTTCCCAGCAGAGCTCTATGGTTTTTTGACATACCAAGTTTTTCCCTATGTATGTATGTTAAGTGTAAAACCTTAAACACTATAGAATAATCTTCAACTCCCTCCAAAAGTACAAAGTGCAGCTTCCATGCCTCAATAAGAATTCTGCTTATGGTTACCAGAAGGCTTTGTGCTTCACTCTTGGTTTTGGACTCCCGAGCTAAAGTGTGTCTCACAAGATTAGCCTCAGCCTGGGATTCTTATGATCAGCCAAAGTAATGGTTCAGTGGGATGGGGTGGACTTTAGCAGTTGTAGGCTAGCCAGGGAGCGCAACAAACATTTTAAAAAAGTGTTTGCCATACCCAACTACAATTGCCATCTAGCATTGTGCTAGAACTTCCAAATATATTTTCTGTTGGTTCTATTAATGGGAAGCAACTGTACATAGCAGGGTTGTTTTCTAACAACCTATACTTAGAGTTTATGACAATGGCATATACTGTTCAGACACTAGAAAATAATTAAACTAGTAGAAATGTTTTTTGGATTCATGAGTTACTATGTATAAAGCCTATATTTGTTGTCTTGCTAACTTTTCCAGGCTTCTGCCAGTAGTAGTAGATACTGGCAAAATAGGTAGGAACTAAACGTTGCTGATAGGGTAAAATAAAGAAAATTAGTGAGAGATATATTTACCTAAGAGCTACTGAAAGATAACATTCTATTTGCCGATTGGCAACTTGCTCTGCTCTAGGAGAGATTTTACCTCTGAAATAATGAACATTTTTATAGACTTACCCCTCTCAACCTCTGCCAAACCAAGTGAACAAAACTTCTGTAAGTTTTAAATGTCTGTGATACTTCTTGAAAACTGGGACCTATGTCCAGTTTCAGAGATTAGTCTTTCAGAGATTAGTTCATTTAAAGTTAAATTTAATATTGTTATAAAGGTTGCAGAAATTCCATTGAGCCTTTGTTCCAAAAAAGAAAATAAGTGTAGAATGCATGAGGATGTCAGGTGAGACTGAAATGTAATTTGTCTGTTTATCTTGCATAAAAGGTCTACTGAAGGGCTTCATGTGAGCACAACATTTATATGTACTTCAGGATAAGAAGAAATCTAATGCAAAGAGTCCACAGCAGTAGACATGAAAAAAATATTTCTAGAATTACATTCTTTGGTAAGAAAATATGTAAATTTGGTGATCTCTCCCCTTCCCCCCCAAATATTTTTGTTTAACAGTAATTTTTAGGGTCCCACAAATCCTTCCAATTTGGTGGATTGTAATATAAGTTTGTTTGTTAAAATTGTCAGCTCAGAAAATACAAGAAATGAAGCAGCAAAGAATTTTGCAATGGAATTACTTGAAAGGAAAAGCTAAAGCCCATTTCTGAGAGTAGCCACATGTATGAATATTTATGATTTGCATCCCTAGAGACCAGAGTTAAAACACCTAAATTTATGCCAAATATTTGTATTGCATTAATGCAGTTGGAATAGACTGCTGTTTCTGTAATGAGTAGATGAGTAAACTTCTCTTATTTTTTAGGTTATAAAGCATACAATAAAGCCATCTCTTACAATGTCACTAACTTACCCTGCATCCTGTACCTGGGAGAGCAAACGAAATTGTGAAGAGTGAATGACAAAAGTTCTACCATGTCTTATGGGATGAAAAATGTTAAAAACTGCAGCAAAGCCAACAGAAGTGTACATAACTGTAAATGTAATTATGGAGTAAACTTTCTCTTTTGTAGTGTCATGGTCAGACTTGTGACGTTGTACTCCTCTCTTTGTATGTTCTGTGGACTACATAAAACAGTAACACCAGTTGCAGGGTAAATTTTAATTTCAAAGCTAGCTTAAAGTTACTTGTTTAAAGTTATGTAAAAATCCCTTCTGCTAATTGGTACCAGGAAAACCTTTGCTCTGTAAATAGGAAAAATGAGGCAACCTCTTCTCAGAAAAAAAAACAGCTTACATGATTGTTAAGAAGAAAAAAAAAAATCCTGAAAATACTTCATAGGAAGTGATTTTTTTAACTGGTCCATTAATTCACTGCCATACTTGAAGAAAAAGAATAAATCAGTCATATTCTA